CCAGGTTCAGGAAACAGTCCTCCGTAAAATGTGCTGCACACATCTGAATATGTGGTTTGAACTGTTCTGGAACAGTGTTGTAAATACAACTTAACCACTGATTTCTAGTTGTGTCCTCTTTTGGAAGGCCAAACAAAGTAGTTTCGCTTTCACAACGAAACACACAGCGTCTCCACGACATGGCGGCGGCGGCAAGAATACTACAGCGAGAATCAAAGTTACGCCTTCTTTCTTTGCGTATACATTTGGGCGGCTACCCACACAGTGACATAGACATGCGTGGGCGTGTTTAAACGAGGCGTTTTAGGAGGGTGTGGACGAGTCTTAACTTTTATAAAGAATATCTCTTTGGGTTTGAGACTTTAGTCTTTGCAACTTTAGGGATCTTATCTATTCACGAACAGCTTGTAACACTCCAAAGAGAAAGGAAAACTTGAAATCGCATCATTTGACCCCATTAAAAAATCTTACTTTACTCCAAATTTTGAATGGTAGAAGTGCCAGCTGAGATGTAAATAAGTCTTAACTTTTGTGTATTTGGTTGAGCTTTAGATCACCTTTAACATAAAATGCTTTTGCAGGGCCCGATGACTCAAATCCGCACTGTTAGCATCGGTGAGAAGAGACAGCCTGTTAACCACACCACTGTCAGCAAAACACACACCACCAACACCTCCACTTCCAAACCCACTACTGGAACCAGGTAAGCTGCCTGGATGATCTTGGTTTAAGATGTTTTTAAAGCCTTGCATCACAGCTAAAATGGAAACTATGTGAAATGCATTCCCAGGAAACCGCGTGGCGACGCCAAGAAGTGCCGAAAGGTGTACGGCATGGAGAAGAGGGACCTGTGGTGCACAGCGTGCCGCTGGAAGAAGGCCTGCCAGCGCTTCACTGACTGAGCTTTATCCTTTACCCCACTTCAAAACGTGCTCGTTTATTGCGGCTGTTCCAATAACATTATAACAGGCACCTTCCGAGTAGAGTCCTGCACTATCGCGGGACCCACGGGATCCAACGCAACAGAGTGTGGCATGGGACAACACTTGATGGGCGAATGCGGACAGGTAGAGACCCGTGTGTGCGGGATGCGGGAAGAATAAGGGTGTACTCACACTAGGCAATCTTAACCGTGTATGGTTCATTTAGCTGGCCCTGGCTCGGTTGGAAGAGATGGGCCAGAGCACGGTTCAGTTGGGCTTGGGCACGGCACGCATGTAGTGTGAGGGCTAACCGCGCGGGAGCGCAGAACTTCTGATATGTGCAACATGATTGCGTTAACGTTTCTGAGCGGCAAAAATAATAGATCTGTAAAGTAATATATTGTGAAAGGACCGTGTGTTACCACGTCCCAAACGACTCAAAATAATAAACCACAAAGTTAACAAAACGATGCACTCCACTGTGCTGAGCGAGAGCGCTTCTCTGCTGTCCTCATGTGCTATCGCAAACTTCCTATTTCCCACTTATGAAGTCGTGATTACGAGCACGTTGCATTCTTTTCTGTTAAAAATAACAGTGAACAGTGGTTTGTGAATGTTGATGCTTAGCCTAAATGATTTTATCGGGAGCGTTCATGTGAGCCAAAGACTATAGAAATTTAATTACAAGTACCTTATTTTTGGAATCTGAAGATATAATCCAGATTACATTTAATCAGTTATTACCCAGCTCTGGTTACAAAAAACTATCATCTTATTATAAAAATTATTATTTCTAATTATTATCTCTTACTTTTAATTGGCTGAGAAATCAAATACATTGCTGAACAATGACAATTACCAATAATTACTATTCTATAATATTCTTCCTATATTTTTCTAATGACAATTTTATGATTTGTTTATATGCTACAACATAGATATATTTTATAGTATCTATGTCAATTCGCTCTGCATTATTCAGATGCTTTTTCATTACCTGGAGATGTCTTGAAAAACACACATAAAGCAAATCGTGTGTTTACTGTCTTCACATTTCATCAGTCAAAACGTTTCTTTTTATTTAGCTTATCTACAGTAGAGATTGCTTTGGCTACAGTGATAGCTGAATGCCTTTATCCATATTAGGGATTTCCTGTACGTCATAAGTTATTACTTCTATGAGGATGTTTTAGACATTCTGCAGGAGAGCGCCTTCCGGCTTCGAGTATGAATGAAACATACACTGCATGAGTGTTTACGTCTCAGTCCTGACTGCATTACTGTCTTTACTGGATGTTTTTAGGGAATATTTGCCTTCATTCACATGTGAATGGATTGGACACTTTGAAATCTGAGATTATCATGCTGACAAATTGGACAAAAGCTGCATAAACTGTAACATAAAAATGCTCAACATATTAACTAACATGTGAAACAGCTAGTCGTCTGACGGGAAGGTAAAAATGCAAAAACAGACACTCTACTGGCTTCCTGTTTGAAGAGGACACTAGAGACTCGTTCAGCGCCATACTGCCAGGCAGAAAGGTTCATGCTCAGAGCAGCGCATGCATCAGAACTCAAACACTGGGACTCTGTGATAATCTCACCAAGGCACAAGTGTTAAACTTTAATCACAATGTCACATTGCATATAAGCCGAAGAGGACAGACCGCCACCTCTTAGTCATGGCTGAGGGCCTCTACACGCGAGTCATTATCTGATATATAATGAAAATATTAATTAAATTAATTAAATACAAAAATAAAATGTAAAAATAAATAAAATTAAATTAATTAATGTCACATGTCATTCCAAACCTGCATGTTTTTGTTGTTGTTAACAGAATAACACAAGGACAGATCTGTTGTTGGAAACTAGTTGCATTGGCAATTCCTGAGGCAACAGACAAACATGGCAGTTAAACTCATAGCTATAAAAGTGGCTGAGGGCCTCTACACGCGAGTCATTATCTGGGACGAGATTGATGATGACAAGCCTTAACAGAATAACACAAGGACAGATCTGTTGTTGGAAACTAGTTGCATGGCAATTCCTGAGGCAGTAAACACTGAAAAGGGGCGAAATTTTACAGTATCAAGCTCCAAAAATGACAAAAAAAGAAGAAAAAAATCATAAAAGTATCATGAAAGCATTATATTTTTGGTCACTATTCACAGAAGAGCTTGGTCAAAGAGAAGTGTCAGCAGAAAAGAATAACTTAGACATTATGCAAAATATTTCATTTTGTGCTCCACAGAATAAAGAACAGAACGTCATGCTGGTTTGGAATGAAATGAGGGAGAGAAATGTTCTTTTTTAGGTGAATTCTTTAAAAAGAGTTCTCAACACTTTTACAAAATGTCTTTGTGTGAATATCCATTACATACTGGTTTATTGCATCATAAGTCAAACAATATGAACAATTAAATAAGAATTTATAGCTTAACATCCTTATGAAACCACTGAAATTATCTAATTCAGGATTTTTTTTTTCAACTGCCTTGTGCTTTTTAATACTAATGATGCTAATAAAATTAAAAGCAGCATGTGAGTGTGGATGTCACCCTGCATACTACATCTCACATTCTGTCTGATTATTACCCAAAACACTCTGGGCTTTGCACATACCAGTGACCTGGAAAAATCACGTGCCCTTGTTGCCTCCATAGCTCAAATTTGTATTCAATTTCATAGTTTTTAGCCTAAAGGAAATCTTCTCAAACTGTATCACTACAGAAATAGGGACCACTCATCTGGACACATTAAAACTCCCATCCATCTGTTAGTACAGCTGTATCTGATGGTATAAAAAGTTGCATCCATCACTTACCATGGGTAAAAAAAGGGAAATGTAATTTCTGTGGAATCACATTAAAAACCAATCTCACTTGAAAAATAGAAATCTGAAGTAAAGTTTCAAAAGGTCATGTTTTTAAAACATTTCTTCTTTAACTTTCTTTATCAAGGTCAGATGGTGGCCATGGCTTGTGCATTAATGGAGTGTAAACTGTGGTTATTATAAAATAAATTAACTGAATATGGAATGGCAAACATAGTACTTCATAACTATGCCAAATGTCAGCATCAAATCAAGACTACACTGTAAAAAAATAAAAAGTTGAGAAAAATGAAGATTAATGAAACATGGCAGGGCACAAACTATTAAGTTAACTAAAATATTTAAATAATAAATAAATTTAAATAAATGTTTATATATATATATATATACTTATATATATATACTCATTGATGTATTAAATTGATCAAAAGTGCCAGTAAAGACACTTGATTTCTATTCCAAATAAATGCTGT